GAGGCTGGTGTTTCCTAGAGAAGATTTCAGGATTTCAGCCAGGGATTTTTTTTCAATGGATCATCATGTGGCAGTCTGGGCAGCAGGAAAGGTAAGTCTTTACTTTCTTTTTTTTTATAGAGAACTCTTATACTGGGAACTTTAGTTGAGAGAAGTGACATGCCATAAGAGCTTAATTAGGGCCAATATCTTCCAACAAAACCAATGGATTTGCACCTAGTGACAGGTCTATATGTACCACAAGGGCACTTGCGTGCCAGTGACTAGGGCATTAGGGGAAGAGGGGGCAGCAAATTAGGCAAATGTATATATTTATTATATTTATGCATTTCTTGTAGCAGTAGATATACATGTGGTCATAGGGGTCCTGCAAAACCAATACATTTTATTCACAAACTTTGTATCCCATACTGTATATGTGCAGTTAAAAAAAAAATAACGCTGCTAATAATGTTTATACATGTCAATCGATATTGGCTGTGCATGAAACTGACGGCTTCCAAGAGTGACAGGTGGACAGCAACGTCACTTTGAGCCCAAACACCATGAAAACTGATGTCAGAATTTTAATAAATATCAATATTGTTGGGGATTTCCTCTTCTAGCCTCCGTAGCTGAGGACTGCTTTGGTAATTTTCATGTATTTTGTTTATACCTTTCATTTTAAATACCTGCTTTGCTTTTATGTATGTCTTGTGTAAACTGCTGCAAATTATGTCTATATGCACTGCCCACGTTTTTGGAATATTCCGTATAAAGTGAATGAGTCAGATTGCTTTGAAGCACTCTTCTCACCAGGGTTCAATTGAACCCAAGGGTTCCACCACAGGTTGCTTGGTGTTCCCTGAACGATAAGCAATTTCTGCCTCTCAGATAAGTAACCACTGACGTCAGTTATCTTTTCAGCTATCTGTAAGGGTGGCATTGTTCCAACTGTCTACTATTTTTTTAAGGAGCAATCTACCCACAGAGTACCAATATAAGGAAATGTTTCCCACTGACCACCAATCTTAGGGAGCATTTCACTGATCACCATCAGCAATCTACTTTGTCATATAAGGCAGCCCTGGGTGTTAAATAGGCGAAGTATGCCACATTCATTATTCCTTTATTTATTTATACTGTTTACACCAGGGCTGGACAAATGTCAGGAGCTAGGTCGCCAATGCTCCTTAAAAAGTACAGCTGGTGCCCAACTTTTTAAGTTTTCTCTAGTTGTTGTCAAAGGAGTTTGCTCCTAAATACAGTATTTTCCTGCTGACCCCTGGATTAGGTAGATTGGCACCTGAATTCCATATTAATTTGTCCAACCCTGAATTACACTAAAACACTGTGTGCTATAATTATAAGTGTAATTATTAGCAAAGGTTCCCTGAGACCTGAAAGTTATTTCAAGGGTACCTCAATGTTAAAAAGGTTGATAAAGGCTGCTCTAAAGTATGCACAAATCTGGAGACAGAGTGAGCTTGTTATTGTATGTGCTTGCAATGAATGGTGGAAGTGACAGGCTTGGATAACTTTTTAACTTTGGATCATTTGCGTCCAGTGATAGTGATCTCTTCCTAACCGCATGTAATTGTATCATACACTGAGTGGCCAGTTTATTATGACCACCTGACGTTTGTAGGCAAATTAGCTATAATTAGCTATAATTTCGCGCTGAAGTTGCTAGAGGGCCAGACCATTATAAATAGAGAAGCAGGTTGTTTACCATGACAGTAGAAGTGATTTGTTTTTGAAGATATGGGTAAACAACACGATTTAACAGCCTTTGAACATGGGATGATTGTTGGCGCGAGCCATGGAGTAAGTATCAGCAAAACAGCAGAATTCGTTAAATGTTCAAGAGGTGCTCATTGTTAAAGTGTTTAAAGACTGGACTGTCAGCTGAAAATCTGGGTCAGAACGGAGAGTGGCAAGACTGGTACAAGACAACAGAAGGGCAACAGTGCAGTGTCAGATTCCTCGCATCACCTTTCAACATCTCGTGGAGTCACGAGGCGGCCCAACGAAGTAATCTCGTGGAGTTATCTCGTGGCCCAACGAAGTACTGATGGGGTGGTCATAATAATCTGGCCATTCAGTGTATATGATTGCATGCAGTGTGTCAGCATTCTGCCGCTTTCAAATGCAGCCACTGTCACCCGAACATTAACTTGAACGGGCGACAGCTGCCACTTGTAAATGGCAGCTTAGGCATTCCTGCTGCAGGAAATGGCAAATTCCTGCCGCCGGAATGCCAAATTGCACCTAAAATATAGGTGTGAATGGAGTCCTAACCAACATAGGAAGTAGCTTAAAAGCTATTTACTTTAATATCACTTTAATAATGCACCTTTGCATACTTGTTATTACTTAGTGAGAAAACCAGATAGAAAACATGCACATTTTTAACAAAGGACAGATATTATTTGGTTTTAACCTGGTTTTCTTTTTTTGGAAAATGCTTTTTTTTTTTTTAACAATTATTCTTTTGCGGAACAAATAGTACTAATTGTGTCTGTAGTTGTAGGAAACAGAACACTGCATTCCATTCACTCTGCTGTACGTCATGTAAGAGTGTGAGAAGAGCTGCACTTGAACAACCTGTCCTCATCAGTGCTTCTCTGCCATTTCTGTTTTGTCTCCTTTGTTCTTTAACTTCGTAGCATTAAAGTAAAGCTGTGTTTTGTCTGTATCGGGAAACACAATAGGTTCACTTAAAGTGACACTAAACTCAGGAGTTAAACCGTAAAAAATGCATTCAAGTATCCTAACTATTAACAAAAATGTATCTTAGTT